GGAACACGGGGCTTGTCGTCCTGTGCCACCGCGGTCGACCCAAAGGGCAGCTGGTTGTCACGGAGGGGCAAGGGCTCCTTGCTGCAGCACCATCCCTGCCCAGGCCGTGACACGTGGGGGGGAGGCACACGCTGCCACCTGTTCTCCGGTCACCTGCGAGGCTGCAGGCCGCAGGGTCAGGCTGCAGGCCGCAGGGTCAGGCTGCAGGCTGCAGGCCACGGGGTCAGGCTGCAGGCCGCAGGGTCAGGCTGCAGGCCGCGGGCAGGACGGGAACGGAAGGTCTCCTCTCGGGAGACTGGGTGGGGGTCAGCTGCGAGCCAGTGTCTGCTGTGTGTGTGAACCACAGGCCACGCGTGTGCAGGGACCTCGTGTGGGCGGGGCTGGGGCCGCGGGCAGGGCAGGTGTGGGTGGGACCGGAGTGCCCTGTGGGCGGGGCCAGGGGCCAGTGGGCAGAGCTAGTGTGTGGGTCGGGCTAGTGTGTGGGCGGGGCTTGGGTGTGGGCGGGGCTGGCATGTGGGAGGGGCAGGGAGCTGGGAGGTGCCGGAAGCAGCCCTCGTGTGGATGCCACCGCTGCAGGTAGCAGGGCTGGCCCGTGTGTTGCTGTGAATGACGGAGAGGGAGATTGCTCCCTGAAGGCCGGCAGCGGCCAGGAGCTCCAGCCGGGTGTCGCCCGGGCGTGACAGCCCCGCACGTCATCTGTGTGTCAGCAGGGAGAGGGATGAGGCCGCTGCCCCGGAGTGAAGGGACTGAGGTGTCTTGGTGGGAGCGTGTGTCACCCAGGGGCCTTGAAAGAGACAGCCGCGTGACCAGAGCGTGTGTCATGTACCATGGGGGCCCCGGAAGTGCAGCCAGGGGAGCTTGGCTAAGCACGCCCCAGGAGGATTGGGGCAGCCCCTGTGGGGGTTCGGGCAGCCCTGGGGGACCTTGGTCTATGAGCATGCCCCCGGTGGGGGTTCAGGCAGCCCTGGGGGTCCTTGGTCTGTTCGGGCAGCCCCAGGACACGTGCAGGGTCTGCTGCGGAAAGCAGAGGCCTGGGAGAGACTGCAGCTCTGGGACCGTGGGGACCTGCTGGGAGGGGCGGAACAGGGCCTGCCTGGGGTCAGTGAGAGGTCAGGCCGCATTTGGGGCACCCCAGAAGCTGGGAAGGCCGCCCGTGCCCAGCGCATCACCCCGCAGGCTGCCTGGGTGCCCTGTGGGTCCTGACGCCCCGCTGGCAGCATCCCCCAGCCCCAGCCTGCACTGCTCGCTGTGCCCAGTTGGCCCGAGCGCGCTCCCCGTCAGCGCCGACGCACGCTCCTGCCAGGAAGTCTCCAGGAGGGAGGGTTTCCCAATCGGTGCCTCTTACTGGAAAGGAGGGGCCCGTTGCCAGGAGGTCTGGCCCTAACCTCCCCTCGGCCGGCACATACGCACACAGGCGCACATTCAGGCCGGCTCTGAGCTCAGCTGCCCGGCTGCTCTACGCCGTGCCCAGGGGAGCCGTGCCAGGGGGGCTTGATGCCACGTTGAGGGCCCACGGTGGGCGCTGCTTCCCCTGCCAGCACCCCCTTGGCACAGCTGGTGATGTCCTGGGCTCTGTCCCCATCAGGCCATGTCCATCCCCCCCCTTTCAGTGTCCACAGCTAAGGGCGTGCTGTTTTAAACTTGGCCATGGCCGTCCGCACGTCCGGCATGTGACCACGCTGTGACCCAGCCCCCACTTGCCTCTACCCGGCCATGTTCACAGTGTCTCCTGGGGGCCGGGCCCGGGTGTGGTCCCCCATGTCTGGAGGCTGTGGTGACACAGAGCGGGCAGCCCACCTTGCCTTCCTGGGTAGTGTTCACCTGTTGTCGTCCCTGACACATGCCGGGATTGTCCCTCCCGCACCCCATGGCAGCGTCAGACCCCGGACACCCCACTGTCCCCTGGGGAGGGGCCGTCCGGTGGGCTCTGAAGCTGTCTGTGACCTCCAGCGACCACACTCGGGCGACCACACTCGGCCTAAGCCTTGCCCCCCAGGAGGGCTGAGGACAGGGCAGGGGGTGGGACACCAGGCTTTGGCCCCTGCCCTCCCCCCACTTCCTGTACGCCATCTGGGGCCTGGGCGAGGATTTCACAAGCCGTTTCCTGTTGCTTCTTGCTCGGGACCTCTGGCAGCCGGGGCTGTGCTTGATCCAGCGCTGGCCCCATCTCCTCCGGGGCTCACCTGGGCCTCAATGCCGCCACCACCCTGCACGGCCGCCCCACCTGTAATTATAGAAGTCGCTGCAAGGGCCGCTGCCCCGACGGCCACGGGTGTGTCCAGGACAGCCCTCGGGGGCACAGGCCGGGTGCCATGTGTTCCCGTCCTGTCATCGGGAGGCTGTCCCCCGAGAGCCCTGCCATCCCCTCCCAGCCTCCAAGGCCTTTGCGCCCCGTCCCTGCGTGGGGCAGCTCTGTGTGCCCACCCCCAACTCCCACTTGGAACACAGGTGGGGGTGGCTGTGCCCTGTGTCCGTGCCAGGCAGGGACAAGGTCTCTCCAAGGATCTGTGGGATGGTCCGCAGCAGCGACAGCCAGGAAGGTGCGCAGTGACTGCCGGACTCGGTGTCACCCTGAGTCGCTCAGCGACACCTCCTGCAGGCAGGGTCAACCCCCAGCTGCTGAGGCAGGAGGCTGGGTGACCAGGACCGGGCACAGGAGTGCCAGCCCAGAGGGGTGACCAGGACCGGGCACAGGAGTGCCAGCCCAGAGGGGTGACCAGGACCGGGCACAGGAGTGCCAGCCCGAAGGGGCGGCTGGGCCAGGAGTGCCAGCCTGGAGGGATGGCCAGGGGCAGGCCCAGTAGTGTGGCAGAGGTGACCCGGGCACCCTGTGCCGCAGCTGGCGCACCTGCTCAGGCAGGCCTGTGTCCTCACTGTCTTCATTAAGGGCTGATCTTGAGCTTGAGAAGATGGTCGGAACAGAAGTGTAACCAGGAGAAAATATTTTATTACTTTTAAAAGAGTTATATGTTTGTTTAGAAGGCAGAATGAGTCTGAAACCAGGAGCCAGGAGCCTCTTCCGGGTCTCCCACGCGGGTGCAGGGTCCCAAGGCTGTGGGCCGTCCTCCACTGCTTTCCCAGGCCAGGGAGCTGGATGGGAAGTGGGGCAGCTGGGTCTCGATCCAATGCCTACATGGGATCCCGGTGCCACAGGTGGCGGCTTTACCTGCTGTGCCACCACGTCGACCCTCAGTTCCTTTCTGTGGTCACCCCGCACCAGGCCCGAGGCTGTTCTGGACCCTGGGGCTGCCAGCTGTCGGGAGTGCCACAGCAGCCTATGTCCAGCCTGTGTCCGGCCGGTGTCCTGTGTCGCGCCTTGGGCTGGCCGCAGCAGGATGCCTGTGGTCACCGCTCTGCTGTCAGCAGCAGGGGGCGCGTGTGCTCTGTGGCCACAGCCCCGACAGCCGACTGACCGTGGGCAGCCGCCGCCGCCTCTGCCACCTGCCCGCCTCTCCATCAGCTCTGCTGGGTGCTGGCACTAGGCGGGCAGACCTGGCCTGTACTCCCGGCTCAGTCCACAGACACCCTGGCCGTGTGAGTGGGGTGTCCTTGGCAGCTGCTGGGGGGCTGCAGCAGACCAGCCCCGTGGGCCTGTGTTCCCTCACTGGGCAGTAGACAGCAGCCAGGCGCGGGGCAGCCATGGCAGCGGGTATGTGACCAGGCTGCTTGGCAGGTGCCTCTCTCTGCCCTCACCCGGGGAAGGTCTCCTGCCAGCGGTGTCAGCCTGGCGTGACTTCTCAGGATACCTGAGCACACACTCCTTGCCCCCGCAGGTGCCTGTGGGCCCTGGGCCGGGTGTGGGTGACAGGCGGCGAGTTCCGGGACATTCTAGAGTTCTCTCGAATTTGTCTTCCTAAAACCTCCCAGTTGTAATGTGGCAGGTGCTTTGTGAAGTGTTCTGGGCCTGCTGGTTGGGGGCGGGTGACAGGTGTGTGGGCACATGCAGGCACGGGGTGGCACTGCAGCCCCCGGCCGAGCGGGTGTAGGGTGACCCGAAACGCCCTGGGTGGGAGGCAGAAGCTGCCCGGAGGGTCAGGGCCACAGACCTCTGAGCCACAAGAGCCATAGCCGGGATGCACCTGCTCGCCCGGGGCCCCTCCCAGTGCTGGCTGTCAGCTGCTCCGCGCACGGTGGGCCGAGTGCCATGGTGACACAGCTGCCGTCACCAGGTGTGGCCCCCAGCTGATGTTGGTAGATGGCCGTGAGTCTCGGCTGGCTGCCCGTGTGTGACGGGCCCCGGGGAGTCTCCCTGTTATTGAAGGAGGCCCATGCCGGGACCGTGTGGCCGGGTGCCCAGCGGGTCGTGGTGGGCACCAGGGCCTCTGCCCCTGGCCTCCTGCACCTGTCGTCTTTGCCCTCTGACCACGCCAGGAGGAGCAGTGTGCGTGTGTGCTGGGCTGCCCCCCAGCAGAGGTTAGGCCCTGGAGCCTACACCTGGTACCCAGCCCTGGATCCCCCGAGTCACTGCCCTTGTGCCAGGAACACCCCCTCCTTCCTGGCCTGGGTCTGGGGGACCCCCAGGCCATTGTAACGCGGCAGAGGGCTGCAGTGACAGTGGGACAGGGCCACCACCCACTTAGTGTTCTGCGTGCCCCAGCAGAGGTTCCAGCCCTGCCTCCCGTTGCCCCCTGCTCTTCAGGCAGCTCAAGGGCAGGTGTGTGGAACACCCAGGGTGCTCGCTGCCTGCCAGCAGGCCTCTGTGGGGCCATGTGCGGGGCCCTGACCGGCGGTTCCCAGGCCTGTGTGCGCCCCCTCTATGCCCCGCACCCTGTGCATGCAGGGCAGCGCCCGGCAGGGCAGTGCCTGGCAAGGTAGCCCTGGGCAGGGCAGTGCCGGGCAGAGCAGCGCCAGCCAGGGCAGTGCCAGGAAGGGCAAGGTACCACTGGGCAGTGCAGTGCCAGGCAGGGCAGGGCAGGGCTGGGCAGGGCAGGGCAGGGCAAGGCAGCACTGGGGCCCTCCAGGTGACTCTGCTGACCAACGTCCCCTCTGCTGTCTTACAGGATTCTATTTCGCTGAGGCCATCGATTCGGTTTCAAGGAAGCCAAGGGGTGAGTCTCGTCCCAGGGGGATGTGGGTTTTGGGGCACCAAGCCCCCAGATGCAGTGGCAGCTGCGCGCCAGGAGGCCAGTGCGCAGCCGAGGGGCCGGGTTACCCCCATCCTCCATCCACCCACTGACCCCTGGCTGGGCCACACCGTGCCAGCTCCTGCCACCCGGCAGTGGGTCGTCTGCAGGTGACGGGGTGCTTTTCTCCCAGTGGCCTGCCCCCATCCCCGCCTCGCAGCCGAGAACTTGTCAGCCTGTTCTAGAAGCCAGGGCGTTTGGGGTGTTCCAGGGCCCGCACCTACCCTGTCTGTGAGCCCCCGGGCTTTTCTCGCCTGGTTTGCCACTGTTGTATGTGGCTGTGGTGTGGCTAAGTCTGTCTCCTCCCAGCAGGGGAGGACAGGACAGTGTGTGTGTGTGTGTGTGTGTGTGTGTACACGTGTGCGTGTTTGTGCGGGCAGAAGGGCTGGGCTCCCGGACTGTGGGCTGCAGGTCTCCCCGCCTCCCTGGCCCGGAGCCCTCTGTGTCCCCGCTAAGGCTGTCAGCTGGACGGACAGGCCCCTCGGCCACCTCGGGCCTCTGTGCTCCAGCTCCTGGGTGTGGACGTGGGCCGCAGCTCTGCCGGCTCAGCACCCCCACTCCACAGCGGGCCCCTCGCACCAGCCCTTCGCTCTGTGCTGGTCTCTCCCCGACCCACCTCTAGTGGATGGGAGGATCAGAGTTTAGAACTCCCACCTGGGCTGGGCTGCCCTGGACTTACTGCCCCCAGTGCCCTGCCACGTGCAGCCCGGCCCCAGGAAGCACTGAGGGACAGAGAACCGGGCCAGGCTGAGGCCGGAGGCCCCGTCCGTCTCTCATGCGGGTGGCAGGAGTCCAGGCTGTGTCGGGTCGTACTGTGCTGCTCTCCAAGGTGCGGGAGGGAAGCTGGGTGGAAGTGGAGCAGCTGGGACTTGAACCAGTGCCCACATGGAATACTGGCGCTGCAGGTGGAAGATTAGCTTGTTATGCCACATCGCTCCCCGCTGAGGGCCCATTCACCCCCAGAACCCAGGATGATGTGGGCACATGCGCTGCGTGTCAGAGTAAGATGCTGGCGACAGGCGCCCACCCCTGCAGTGCAGCCCTAAGGGGGCTGGACCCTGCCTCCCCGTGACCCCCACTGGCCTGGGGCTGTGCTCGGCAGGTGCACGGGCCAGGCGGGACACAGGGGCCTGGCGGGTGCATAGGCCAGGCTGGGCACAGGGGCCTGGCGGGTGCACGGGGCCAGGCGGGGTACAGGGGCCTGGCGGGTGCACGGGGCCAGGCGGGGCACAGGGGCCTGGCGGGTGCATGGGCCAGACTGGGCACAGGGGCCTGGCGGGTACATGGGCCAGGCTGGGCACAGGGGCCTGGCGGGTCACAGGACCTTGGCTGCCTCGCCTCCACCTGACCTGGGAGAATCAGACTGGCTATGGGCATCTGGGGTTGAATTTAATCAGCTACATTCCAGCCTCACTGTGCAGCTAGGGGTCCCCACGAGGCTGCCCCTTCTGGGGTGGGGGTGGGCCCAGGGTGCCACGGATGACCCGGGTACAAGTGGGTGCTGGGAGGGAGGGGCAGAGGGGCCATTCCAACGGGGGAGGGGTTCCGCAGGCAGGTTAATCGGCCAGGGAAGGAACTGCTGCCTGATCCCTCGCGTTGTGTTTGTGAGGGTCCTGAGGTTCCCAGTGTGGCCAAGGCAAGGCGGCCGGCAGGCCCTCTGGCGCCCTCTGGGGGTCGGGGCAGTGACTGCAGGCCCAGTCTCTGTGTGTGTGTGTGTGTGTGTGTGTGTGTGTGAGAGAGAGAGAGAGAGAGAGAAAGAGAGAGAGAGAGAGAGAGACTCCCCACATTCTGTATCCTGTCCCCTCTGGGCGTGTCTCCCCTTTGCTCCCCGGGCCACCCAGCTCTTTCTTGATGCCCCACACAGATGCACACACTTGGTTGCTGGGTCGGGCGAGGCGCTGTGTGACCAGCCATCTCATGGCAGTGTGGCTGGGCGTTCCTCTGGGTGTGTGGCCTGGACATCTCTGCCACCTCCTGGCCGCCCACCCCTCCCCACAGCCTTTCTCCCCTACCCCACCCAGGGCAGGACGGAGCTGGCCTCAGCCCGGGCTGCAGATGACACTGCCCTGTGTCACCCCCGGGGCAGCGACCCGGGACACAGTGGCCGCAGCAGGCCACCTGGCCTCCTCGCCGCGTGGCCAGGGGCTTCTGTCGCTGACAGGTCACGTGGAGTGGGAGAAACACGTGGGCAGCAGAGAAGGGGGCAGCCAGGTGCCCCCACGCCATCCCCTTTCTGGCGAGCAGTGCTGGGGCCACGGGGTGCCGCCTGCCCCTCACGCCTGGCCCGCCCTCCCCCCGCAGCACATCTGCATCCCGCAGCCCGACTGCCCCGCCGAGGCACGGTCCTTCACCTTCTACCTCTCCAACATTGGCCGCGACAGCCCCCAGGGCAGCTTCGACTGCGTGCGGCAGTACGTGTCCAGGTGAGAGCGGCACCCCTGCCCGCGGTGCCAGGCCGCGCCCCCCACACGGGCTGCCCCGCGCTGACCTGTGCCCGGCCCTGCCCGCAGCCATGGGGACACGCACTTGGACTTCCTGGGCAGCATCCAGGACAAGGTCACGGTGTGCGCCACGGACGACTCCTACCAGAAGGCCCGGCAGAGCATGGCGCAGGCCGAGGAGGAGACCCGGAGTCGGAGTGCCATCGTCATCAAGCCGGGGGGCCGCTACCTGGGTGAGTTGGGGTGTGCGGACCCCGTGCTGGCGGGGCGGGTGGCACTGAGCACTCACTGCCAAGCTGGCCCTGGGCCGCGGGGGCCGGGCCTGCCACAGCTGCCAGCCAGCCCTGGGCGGCACCTGGGGCCGGGCAGCCACACTGCGGTGCCTCTGGCGGCTTCATCCGCTGGGGTTTCATGGCAAAATGCCACATTTGGGCGGGCACCACGGCGCAGCCTGGTCAGCCACTGCAGATGCCAGGGCATTCCAGAGCGCCGGTTCGAGTCCCAGTGCTCAGGCTCCTGCTGGGCTCACTGCTGACAGACCCTGCCACTCACACAGGGGACCCGGAGGGCACTGTGGGTGCCCGGCTTTGGCACGGCCTAACCCTGGCTCGTGCCGTCGTTTGGGGACTCAGCCAGCAGCAGATGGAAGAGTGTGTGTGTGTGCGCGCGCGCCTCTGAAATACACACACGTGCACAAGTCACTTAGGAAGTGTGCTGAGCCTGTGGCCGGCGTGTGGCCCAGTCCTTCAGTCCTCAGGACGTCAGTCCGACGCGAGCGGCAGGTGGCACTCTCGGCCCGAGCATCCCGGCCTGCAGCTGGCCCTGCGTGCCGAGCCGCCCTGAGCCGCCCTGGCCCGGCCAGCAGCCCCCAGTCACGCCCTGGCTCTCCTCGCAGGCAAGAAGGTACAGTTCCGGAAGCCGGCCCCCGGGGCGTCAGAGGCCGTGCCCTCCCGGAAGCGGGCGACCCCGATCAACCTGGCGAGTGCCATCCGCAAGAGTGGCGGGAACAGCCTGAGTGGGGCCGGCGCGGTGTCGCAGCGGCCCTTCCGGGACCGCGTGCTGCACCTGCTGGCGCTGCGGCCCTACCGCAAGGCCGAGCTGTTGCTGCGGCTGCAGAAGGACGGCTTGGCGCAGGCGGACAAGGATGCGCTGGACAGCCTGTTACAGCAGGTGCGTGCGGCCCAGCCCGTGTGGCACGCATCGCCTGCAGGGCGTCCAGGCCTGGCACTAGGGGCTGTGTGTGTCGGTGTGCGAGCGGTGGAGCCTCCCCCAGGGCCACCCACGTTCCATGTTGAACTGCCCGGGGAGCAAGTCCCACTCCACTCCCCAGGCAGCAGGGCAGCGGGCTCGGCCAGCAAGCCCAGCCTTGACCCACCATCCCCCCACTCTCCCATGCCGCTGGAGAGAACTGGGGGTGGCAGCCGTCTCCCCCTTCCCTGTCAGCAGCAGACCGCACCCCCGGCCCCCAGTGTGCCACGCGTGTGCGCTCAGCGTGGCGGGCCTTCCCCTCACAGGTGGCCAACGTGAACGCCAGGGACAGCACGTGCACGCTGCGGGACTGCATGTACAAGGACGTGCAAAAGGACTGGCCCGGCTACTCAGAGGGCGACCAGCAGCTGCTGCAGCGCATGCTCGTCCGGTACCGCACCTGGCCCCGGGCGCGGCTGGCGGGAAGCGGGCGGAGGGGCGGTCCCTCCCCCACCACTGCCGGCTGATGCTCGGTCCCCGGCCTCAACCCCAGAGTCCTCCGGGTGGTGGCCTGCCTTCCCCTGCCGTTTCTGCCCTAGCTGCGTGTGCACTCCAGGGCGCTGCCAGCTACTCCTGGGGGTGCTGGGCAAGGCGATGGGGCACCAGGGGGCGTACTGCCCTCTCTGGCCCAGGCAGTTGGGGCTCTGGCACGAGCCCCAAGTCAGGCCTCAGGACCCTTCGTGGTGGAGTTGGCGACGGCTTGGTGGAGTCCCTCCAGATGCCTTCCACCATGCCTGCCGTCTTCCTTGCTTTGGGTGCCTCGGGTCGCAGTGCTGGCCATGCCGCCCACCCAGGGGTCCTGGGTGCTGCAGAGTGTCCGGCTGAGTGGGCCTACTCTGCCTGGCACCCCTGCCGCATGCGGTCCCGCCAGAGTCCACAGGCATCACAGGCGTTGGAGGGGAACGGCTTGCCTGTCTCCATGGCAACAGGCACCTGGGGCTGTGCCCGCCCTGCTGGGCCCTGGGCAGAGGCACACGGGGACAGGCGCCTCTGGCCTGACCCGCCCCCTCCCCTCCGTTGCAGGAAGCAGTATCAGCCCCAAGGTGCCAGCGGCCTCCCTGGGGACTCTGCGGCCTCCAGCCCTCCCAGTGAGCACGGGAGCTCAGCCTCACCCCCTCAGGTAACAGCGCTGGGGCAGGGAGCACGCCCCACCCAGCCCGGCTGCGTCAACTCAGTGTCCAGCTTCCTGACTGCCAGCGGCGCCTGGGCTGCTCGTCCCCTAGCTCCCCCACCCCCGGTCCATCTGTGAGGATCAGAACATGCTGAGCCTGGTGACCTGAGCCCGACACGTCCCAGGATGTGGCCCTTCCCCAGGCGGGCCATCCGGCTCCCCTTCCTGCCCTGTGCTGACCCTCAGCCTGGCCTGGGTCAGGACACCCCTGTGTGGCCGGCGCGGGCCTCGCAGGCGGGCCCCGCAGTTCCCCTCTAATGCCATCCCCTCTCCTGCCCCCAGAAACGGCCACAACCCCCTGAGTTCATCGACCCCCTGGCCCACAAGAAGCCCAGGATATCACACTTTGCCCAGAGAGCCCAGCCCACCGTCAACGGCAAGCTGAGCGCGCCCAACGGCCGGGAGGCCCTGCTGCCCACCCCAGCGCCGCCTGCTGCCGACCCCCTCAGTGCCCGCGCCCACCCGCCCCCACGGCTCGAGCCCCCCCGGGCCCACGACCCCCTGACCGACGTCAGCAACGACCTGGGCCATGGCGCTCGAGACTGTGACCGGGGGGCGCCTGCCACCCCGGCCCCCACGCACCCCGCACTGCCCCTGCCCACGGACTGTGTCCAGGCCGGCAGCCCCCCGCACAGCAAGTCCCGCAAGAAATCTAAGAAGCACAGAGACAGGGCGCGGGTCCTGGAGGACAAGCACCGCACCCCGCAGCCACCGCCGGACCCCGCCCCTGCTGCCCCCACCGTCCCCCAAGCCCTGCTGGATGCCCCGGGTAGGTGCTGGGCCCTGCGAGAAGACGCCGGCCCCTCGCTCGGGGTGCCCGGGCCTGCTAATGGGCACACTGGCAGAGGGGGCTCAGGTCCCAGCCATCCTCACAGCTCGGGCAGCACTGCGGACTGCGAGACGCCCCCTCCCTCCTGTCCCGGGCATAGGCCACGGCCGAGCCACGGTGCCCAGGAGCAGGCTGAGCTGAGCCCAAGCCTCAGTCCCCCCCGCTGAAGGCCCCCAGTGAAGCGCTGCCCTCTGAGCCTGGGGCCGCGCTCAGTGGGGTAGCTAGGTGGGCGTGTGCCCTGCAGGCCGGGGGATGAGGCGGAACGGGTGTCTGGAGATGCCGGATGAGTTGGGGTGCCAGACCAGGGCCTGTCTCTCCCACATGTGACCCAGGTCCTTGCAGGCACCCCTGCGGTCCTGGCCAGCCTGTGTCTGACCATGACCATGACCCAGGACAGGCCTGGCCGGGCACAGCTCCTCCTCCAGATGGGAGCACCTGTGCCGTTCTCCAAGGTCCAAAAAGCTTACATTTTGCACCTGGACAGGGAGGCACAGTACTGTGGGAATGCCCGCTGCTGACCACCGCCCACCCAGATCACCCAGGCCATGGGTGAGGGTGACAGGCCAGGAGATGCCTGCCTGGGGCCACGCGGCTTTACCAGGACCGTCCTGGGTCCTGGTGGCCGAGGGGAAGGACGGCTGTTCCCCAGCTTCTGTGGCTGCGCGCCAGGACACCCCGGGGCGTCGTTCGGGTCCTGGGTGGGTAGCCTCAGCAGGGTGTGTTGGAAGATCTCACGGACCAGGCTGCACCCCTGAAGGCCGGGCCCCTGGGTGGGGTGGGGCGACAGTGAGTGCCCCCCGCTTGCAGCCTGGGGTGTGCGGGTGCCCCCGTCTCAGGGCTGTGCCTTGGTCCCCAGGGCTGAACGGCACCTGCAGCAGTGCCAGCGCGCCCGCAGCTGCACCCACGTCCACGTCCGAAACCCCGGACTACCTGCTGTGAGTGGGCGGGGCGTGGGGGCGGGCGTGGCTGGGGCACCCCTCGGCCGCCCCCGGGACACCACGCACAGCCGCCCTGTCCCCTCCGCAGGAAGTACGCCACCATCTCGTCCCCAGAGCAGCGCCAGAGCTACAAGAATGACTTCAACGCCGAGTACAGCGAGTACCGCGACCTGCACGCCCGCATCGAGCGTATCACGCGCCGCTTCACGCAGCTGGACGCCCAGCTGCGGCAGCTCTCCCAGGGCTCCGAGGAGTACGAGGTAGGCCCGAGCGGGCTCCTGGCTCAGCCCGCCTCTGCTGGCTGCCCTCCGGGACCCCTTCCTTGCCTCGGCCTGCCCCCACCGCCCAGCGCCCTGCGGGCAGCGGTGTCACCGTGTCACCATCATGTTTTCTGTTCCTCTTGCAGACAACTCGAGGGCAAATCCTGCAGGAATACCGGAAAATCAAAAAGGTGAATGGGGCGGGGCGTCATCTGGGCACGTCTTCCTCCTGGCCCTGGCCGCCGCCTGCGGCTGGACGGGGTGGCTGGGCTCTCCAAGTGCCACCGGCCTCCGCCTTGCTGTGGGATCCTTGCCAAGGTCACGGGCAGAACGCCTTGGGGTCTGAGGCCCAGCCACCCGCGTGCGGTGGGGAGACCCCCCGGCTGAGCTGGGTGGGCTGCGCCCCGCGGCAGCAGGCAGGGTGGGAGAGCCACACGCATGACACTCGCCCTCCGCCCCCCAGACCAACACCAACTACAGCCAGGAGAAGTACCGCTGTGAGTACCTGCACAGCAAGCTGGCCCACATCAAGCGGCTCATCGCCGAGTACGACCAGCGGCAGCTGCAGGCCTGGCCCTGACCCCGACCCGCGGCACCTGCGGCTCTGGGGGCCGGGGCCGGAGGCGGGAGTGCGAGGATGAATTTAAAATAAACACGAGGAGGAAGACGCACGCATCTGAGCCAGCCCCGCGGCCCGGCCCCTCCGGCTCGGTGGCAGGGACGGGGAGACCCCCAGGGCCGCCCGACCCCTCCATCTAGGAGGCAGGGATGGGGAGACCCCCAGGGCCGCCCGACCCCTCCATCTAGGAGGCAGGGACGGGGAGACCCCCAGGGCTGCCCGGCCCCTCCGGCTCGGTGGCAGGGACGGGGAGACCCCCTTTTCTAGTTTTCTACAAACAGCCCCCTGCAGCTTGGGCTGCAGGCGTGGGAATCTATTTTTGTACAAAGAGGAAGCGAAGTCCTTTCTCTAACCCCACGCCCACCTGCCCCGGACGCCCGAGCCCCTTCTGCAGTGTTACCCCGCATTGCCCTGCACCCACTCTCATGCGGACCAGGGTCTGTGGCCCCCACCTGCTACTTCAGCAACCCCAGGGAGCCAGGACAGAGGCCTTCCCCGCGTCCCCCGACCCCAGCTGGCAGGGGCGCGGGGTACGGTCGTGTCCACTCGTGCAGTGTGTCCTGTGTCCCCCCCAACTGCTGTTCTTCCTTCGCACTGTCGGGACCCCTCGGGCCCCACGCTGCTGATGTCACTCCGTCCACGTGTGGGGGAGCTGGCATTGTCGGGGTCACACTCAGGGAGGGGCCCCCCTTGGGCTCCAGGAGGTGGAGCTGGGGGGTCCCAGGTCTGCCCGCTCGCTCTGGGGGAGCAGGCTCTGCCAACACCCCAATTGCTGCTTTGTTGCTGTGCCTACCTCCCCACACACACTGTGGTGGGGGCTGCGTGTGTGTGTGTGCGCGCGTGTGCGTGTAAGCCAGTGGGGCAGCCAGGACCCAGGGTCCACATGACGGCCCAGCAGGAGGGTGAACGCGCAGGGGTGTGTGTGTGTGCGTGTGTGTTTGTTCCAGGCCACGGGGGTCCCCCAAGCTTGGCTTCCAAAGAGAGGGGCCGTGCAGCGCACCCCAGGCTCCCGGGCGCAAGTTGCGAAGTGTGTGTTGTGTTTTCCATGTGGGAGTGGGCAGGCCCGGGCCCGGCCGCTTGGCCGCTCTCCCGCGGGCGATGGCGGGGCTGGGCGTGCGCGTGGGGCTGCAGGGCGGTCAGGAGCCTGGAGGGCCGTAGGTGTTTACAGGAATTTTCCACTTTTGCCAAAATGTTACAATTGAAAGGCCTCCGAGTCTTGTTGGGTTTCCCAATATTTCTTAAGGACTTTGCGTCTCTTTTGTACACTCAACAGGTGAACGCTGTTTTTTTGTTTTTTTCTTTTTCTTTTTTTTTTTGTTCTCAACCTCCAATAAATTTCACTGAGCAGAACCCAGCAGCTCTGTGGTGTGTGTGTGTGTGTGTGTGTGTGTCCCAACCCGAGGGTGTGCTGTGGCAGGGGAGGGCCGCCCGGCAGCTGGAGCCACAGCAGGTGTGTGGCAGAAAGACCACAAGGCAGGGGGCTCAGACCCCTGTACGCCGCTGGTCTTGGCCCGTGTTCTGAGGAGACTCAGGACCCCGGGGGGTTGGCAGAGACAGGCGAGGCAGACCCAGGGAGGAGCCTGGCCACGCCACCCTGCCAGGAGCTGACCTGTGGCCCGAGCTGGGCAAGCTGCCCAGCTGGACCCCAGCCCTGCTGTGCACTGGCCACCGCCCCCTTCTTTCGCCTGCCCCCCAGGACTCCCGGGAGGGTCCTCCCACTCCCGGCTGGATGGGGCTGGCTTTGTTCTCTGTCCATGGTCTGGGCCAGGCCCTGTAAGCCCCCAGCGAGTTTCCTGCCCCTGACCTGCTGTGGGGGGTCCCCACAGTTCGTAGGTGGAGCTTCATCCTGTCCCAGCCAAGGGGCACAGGTGCGCATGCCGCCGGACAGGCTTCTGGGATGTGGGTGTGGGGAGCCCTCATCGGATGTCAGTGCTCGTCCCAGGCTGGGCGTGTGAGCAGGGAAAGCGTGGGTGCAACTTAGGGTCCCCCAGGGCACGCACGCAAACATCCCCTGCACCCCACGTGCCTTCAAGCCCCCGGGGGGCAGCGGGTGCTTGGCTCCAGCTCCGGCCCAGCCCTGGTCACTGTGGGTACCAGGGCGGGCAGGGGTTGTTTCTTCTCTTCCCCACCCCCCACCTCCCTCCGCAAAGACTAACTTACAAGCAACAGGCCCCTCCAGCCATGACAGCGCCTGGAGTCGCAGGTGAAGCTGTGGGGTCAGCTTTCGGACCGCGGGAGGCAGCCGGCCCGCCCAGTCCGTCCGGATTCCTCCTAGGCCAGGTACGTGCTGGGCCCTCTGTGTCCGAGGCGCCACCGCAGCTCCCCCGGTATCCGGGACACACACCCCACACTCGCACTGCCCTGAGTCTGCAGCCAGAGGCCGCCTGGGCAAGGCTCAGGAATGGTTACAATGGTTACAAGTTTATTTCAATCTTGTGCAGAATTAATCTTTCATCTGCCGAAGGGATGGGGGGTGTTCAGGTGCCCTTGACCCGACCCGCCTCACCTCCCCAGGGCTCCTGTCCGGGCTGCTCGGGCACACACCGCATGACCTCCACCCTGCGTCTCCAAATCCTTTCCAATACCTCCCTCTGGGAAGCCTGGAAGCTTGAGGTGCCTCCGTTTCCTCCCCTGAATCCTCAAACGGGGGTCCTTTCTTGGGGGGGAAGGCCTGGAGTCAAGCTCGGGGCACCCTCCCAAACCCGCCAAGGCAAAGCCTTTTCTTTTCTTTTTTTTTTTTTTTTTAATGTGTGTGCAAACAATCCTAAATAAGCACCTTTTGGGTCCGTTCCAGTGGTGGAAAGTTTCCGACCGCTTGTTTTGGAAAGTTCTTGGGGGAGCCGCCCCCGCTAGCCCGCTGGGTTCCCACGGCCCCTTATCGCCGGCTGCGCGAGGGGGAGCCGGAGGGGCTGTGCCCAGCTCACTCCGCCCCTGCCAGGGCCCCTGCAGCCTTGGCACCTTGCACGGGGCAGCTGCCAGTCGCCGACCCACGCCCTCCCCAGCTGCTCCGGGGTGGGGGGAACAGACGCTTGGGGCTAGCGTGCCTTCCAGGCAAGGGAGTGGGGAGGGAGGAGGGGGCACCTGGTGCCTGGGGGGGTCCCAGAGCTGCTGCGTCTGAACGTAAAGAGGGTAAAGAACGTACCCTCTTGTAGCGAGGCTTCGTGCACTCCAGGCGCTTCCGGTCAGCCCCGGGCGCGCCCCCCCCGCACGTAGCAGCGGGCAGCTGCGGGAACCCGCAGGCGGGACTCGACCCCGCAGCCCCCCGGGCCCCTCCTCCGGCTCGAGCGGGGCGGGACAGGGCGGAGCTTCGGCTCTTTTCCTCCCCGAGGCCGCGCGCCCGGCCCGAGAGCCCCGCGCCGTCAGCTGCCGTCCGAGCTCGCCCTGCCGGTGAGTACGGGCCGGGCTCCCGGGGGGCCTCTCGGGGTCTCTCCGCTGACCTCGCCCGCCCTGACCGCCCCAGCCCGCCGCCGCCGCCGCCATGGAGGCCACCGCCGCTGCCGAGTTCATGGTGGAGAGTCCGGATGTGGTTTACGGACCCGAGGCCATCGAGGCGCAGTACGAGTATCGGACGACGCGCGTCAGCCGTGAGGGCGGCACCCTCAAGGTGGCTGGGGCGGTCCCAGGGAAGCCGGAGTGTGTGCGTGGGGGGGACCGGCGGCGGGGGCATGGTGGGGAAGGCGAGGCTCGCTCATGGCGCCGCCTCCCCCCTACACACCCCCGCAGGTGCAACCCACATCCACGCGCTTCACCTTCCGGACGGCCCGGCAGGTGCCCCGACTTGGAGTCATGCTGGTCGGCTGGGGCGGTAACAACGGCTCCACGCTCACCGCCGCCGTGCTGGCCAACCGCCTGCGCCTGTCCTGGCCCACGCGCACAGGCCGCAAGGTTGGGGTTCTGGTGGGGGGACGCATCCCTGCAGGGGGCGGGGCCCCTCGGAGTCCTGGGCGGGGGGCGAGGCCCGGGGGAGCGGCTTGCGCCCTGGCTTGCAGTCCGTCCTCATCCCGCCTCCTTGTCACGTCCACTCCTCACCCTGCCACGCGTGTCTGCGCCCCGCCAGGAGGCCAACTACTACGGCTCGCTGACGCAGGCGGGCACCGTGAGCTTGGGCCTGGACGCCGAGGGCCGGGAGGTGTTTGTGCCCTTCCGTGCGCTGTTGCCCATGGTAGCGCCCAACGACCTGGTGTTTGATGGTGAGCGGTGCCCCCCCCGGGGCGTCCGGAGACAGGGGTGGCGGCTGGGGATGGGCTGGGGCCCACTGTGAGAGGGGGTCTCCCCTGCCCTCTCCAGGCTGGGACATCTCGTCCCTGAACCTGGCCGAGGCGATGCGGCGCGCGCAGGTCTTGGACTGGGGCCTGCAGGAGCAGCTGTGGCCGCACATGGAGGCGCTGCGCCCGCGGCCCTCCGTCTACATCCCCGAATTCATCGCCGCCAACCAGAGCGCGCGCGCAGACAACCTCATCCCGGGCACGCGCGCCGAGCAGGTGCTGCCCCACACCCTGCTTTCCCGCCAAGTTCAGGTTCCCCGCTTGGCACGTGGCGAACCCCCGTCCATCCGTACAACTACCCCGCCCCTCCACTCCCAAACAGCTGCAGCAAATCCGCAAGGACATCCGCGACTTCCGGTCAGGCGCCGGCCTGGACAAGGTCATCGTGCTGTGGACGGCCAACACGGAGCGCTTCTGCGAGGTGGTGCCCGGCGTCAACGACACGGCCGAGAACTTGCTGCGCACCATCGAGGTGGGAAGGGGGGCGTGCGCAGGGATGGGGGGCGTGCGCGGGGACGGGGGGCGTGCGCGGGGACGGGGGGCGTGCGCGGGGACGGGGGGCGTGTGCGGGGAAGGGGGGCGTTCGCGGGGACGGGGGGCGTGCGCGGGGACGGGGCGTGCCCCCAGACTCCCCCTTCCTCCTGACAGCCGCCCGCCCGTCCCCGCAGCTCGGCGGCAATGAGGTGTCGCCGTCCACGCTCTTCGCCGTGGCCAGCATCCTCGAGGGCTGCGCCTTCCTCAACGGCTCCCCGCAGAACACGCTGCTGCCTGGCGCGCTCGAGCTGGCGTGCCAGCGCCGCGTCTTCGTGGGCGGAGACGACTTCAAGTCGGGCCAGACCAAGGTCAAGTCCGTGCTGGTGGACTTCCTCATCGGCTCGGGCCTCAAGGTGCCTGGGCCTTCCCTGGACGTCCCGGGTGCTGGGGGGCGGGGAGGGAGGTCGCACCCGAGGCCGTGGCTTGTGCGAGCCCCTTCCTTCGCCCAGACCAGGTCCATCGTCAGCTACAACCACCTGGGCAACAACGACGGGCAGAACCTGTCGGCGCCGCAGCAGTTCCGCTCCAAGGAGGTTTCCAAGAGCAACGTGGTGGACGACATGGTCCAGAGTAACCCAGTGCTCTACGGCCCGGGCGAGGAGCCCGACCACTGCGTGCGTGCCCGAGGGGGCGGACGTGCGGGAGCGGGGCCGGGGTGGGCGGCCGGCGTGCGAGCTCCCGCTGCACCCTTAGGTGGTCATCAAATACGTGCCTTACGTGGGTGACAGCAAGCGCGCGCTGGACGAGTACACGTCGGAGCTGATGCTGGGCGGGACCAACACGCTGGTGCTGCATAACACGTGCGAGGTGCGCGGGCCAGCGGGGCCCACTCCAACCCGACCCCGACCCCGGGAGGGTGGAGGGTGTGGGGGGTGCGCCTGCCAGACCCCGGAGGCCGCGGGGTGCACCTGCCCGACCCCGGGAGGCCACGGGGTGCGCCTGCCACCCTCGATGACCGCGGCCACCCCGCAGGACTCGCTGCTGGCCGCGCCCATCATGCTGGACCTGGTGCTGCTCACGGAGCTGTGCCAGCGCGTGAGCTTCCGCACCGACGCCGACCCAGAGCCGCAGGCCTTCCACCCGGTGCTGGCGCTGCTGGCCTTTCTCTTCAAGGCGCCGCTCGTGCCGCCCGGCAGCCCCGTGGTGAACGCGCTCTTCCGCCAGCGCAGCTGCCTGGAGAACACACTCAGGTGCGGGCGGGCGGCGGGTGCGGGGCTGCGGGAGAGGGCGCGCGGCTCCGCTGAACGCACACGCACCCGTCACCATCCCGCAGGGCCTGCGTGGGCCTCCCGCCGCAGAACCACATGTTCCTGGAGTCCAGGATGGAACGGCCGGGCCCGGGTCTCAAGCGTGCGGGGTTCCGGGCCAGCGCCAGCCCTGTGCCCCCCAAGAAAGGTGCCTCCTCCCCCACTCCCAACGCCAACGGGCACCTGCCGGAGACCCCCAGCAGCTGAGGTGGTGGCCTGGCAAAGGGCACCCCCACCCCGCACCCCCACACCTTCCCGGGGACTCCCCACAATAAAGCCGGCAGTACTTCCAGGCAGTGGCGGGAGTGAGTGAGTCAGGGGGCACAGGCTACAAAAGAGCCAAACCCGGTCACGTTTATTTGAGGGGCACAGTGCCCCCGCCTCAGGCAAGTACAAACAGCAGGAAGGGCGAGACAGGTCCTCGGGGTTTTGTATAAAATGAGATAAAAGTCCTTCTCGCGGAGCCTCCCTCCCTCTGCCCCTGCCGGCCTGGGGCGTGGCCTCAGACCCCAGACCCCCGTGCAGCGGGCGAGGGGGCTGCGCCATCACACACTCATGGCCATCTCGGGCGAGTACTGTGGAGAGAGAGGAAGGGGCGCCCGGGCAGGGGGCTCAGCCGCAGCCAGACCTGGGACCCGCCTCCCCCCTCCCAGGGACAAGGGGGCGGGGAAGGGACAGGTGGGGAAGGGAGGGGGTCCCGGGTGGGGGCGCGGGCAGGGGAGGCGGGGCGGGAGGGGGCACGGGGTGGAAGGAAGCCGCGGCCGCCCCCCCACCTGGCCCGCCGCGGTCATGGTCTTGCTCTGGCCCCCCGGCCGCCCCGCCGGGGCCTGCCCGCCAGGCCCCTCCGGCCCGACGCCGCCGCCGCGGGGGGAGAGTCGACGCAGTCGCTTACGCTTTGGCTCGGGAAGGGGTGCAGGAAGGTCCCTGCGGCTGCCATCTCGCCGTCGTCCCGCGGGGTGCCGGGGGCGTTGCTCAGGCCGGCCACGGCGCCGGGGGAGCTCTGGGGGCGGCGGCCGTGAGCGCGCGCGCCCGGGGAGGAGGGGACCCCACCTCCCTTCCCCCGAACCCTCAGCCACAGCCCACCCCCGTGGGCGCGAAGCCCCCTCACCTTCGGCAACCCGTCCGTGTCACCCGAGCCTGTGGATCACACACACACACAGGACAGACATGGGGCTCAGCCGGGGCGCAGAGGGGAGGCTCCGGCGCCATCGCGGGGCGCACCCTCGGTCCTCCACCCCTCGAAGCGGCCGGCGCTGCCCACTCACCCAGGGATCCGTTCACGTGGTGAGGTTCCAGCGCGCTCATGGCCGCCATGGGCCCCTCGGAGCCAGGACCAAGGGGGAACTGCGGGCAGAGGGGCAGCTGGAAGGGGGTGCTCAGGCTGCGCCCCCACCCTCATCCCGGCCCCGCAGGGCACCAGGCCAGCCCACACTCACGTTAGACCTGCCTGCGCCCGGCCCCATGGGGCTCATAATGGTGTACATGTTCTCGCTGCAAGTAGTTGAGTCTGCGGATGCGGCACAAGTGAGGCGAGCGGCCCAAAGGGGTCTCCCGGGCCCCCTCCCCAACACGCGCTACCTCCCTTTTACCTCCAGGACTGGGAATGATGGGCGTTCCGGGGGGCCCACCTCCTCCTGGGGGTCCCTGTGCCCGGGAGGAGAGCGGGGATGAGAAAGGCCCCTGCCCAGCCAAGGCAGCCCAGCGTCGCCCCACTCACCCCCACTCACCCCCACTCACCACGTAGCTGCCTGGGGAGGACGAGGAGTAGGGCACCTGGGGGCGGAGCTTCCATAAGCAACAAGCCCAGCCACGCCCCCTGCACCCCCAGGCCAAGCCCCCTGCACCCCCACCCAGGCCTGGCCTCCCTGAATGCCCTGGTCCCCGCAAAACCGAACTCACGGAGTTCCCGCTGGGACTGGCCCATGGGCCACGCACTGCGGGGACCCTGCAAGACACGGAGAGTGGTCCCCTAGGACTAGGCCAGGGATACAAGCCTGGATGCCCCCCAACCCCCTGTTCTCTGCCAAGGCCAGTGCTGGCCATGGCCACCGCCACACTCACCCCAGGGAGCAGAGGGTCCCAGCCTGGGCTGCCCACTCGCACACCCACCCACCCACCCACCCACCTGCCCTTACATATTCACGGCTTGCAGGCCTGGGCCGGCGAGGGAGTTGGGGGGCGGCCGGATGCCCCCTCCGTATCCCTACCGAGGAAGGCAGAAAGGGGTGAGGTGCCGGATGGGCAGAGAGCAGCCCCTCAACTCCGCCCCCTGGCCCCGGGCCTTACCTGAGGCCCCATGCTGGCCATGCCCCGGGGAGGCGTCACTCTTTGCATGGTGCCACCCATGCTCGGATGACCTGGGGCGGGGGCCGGGAGGACAGCAGCTCAGCCCCTCACTGCGCCCCCAAGGCCTCTCACTGCGCCCCCCAGGGCCCCTCAGTGCGCCCCCCGTAGCCCCATGCACTGTGAGCCAGGGGCAGGGAGGGAGGCGAGGCCCGGCGGTCATTACTCACCCTGCCCACGCACCGAGGGGTCCATGGCGCCGGCCAGGAGGGGCTGGGAGCCAGGGAGGCCCACAGGAGGCTGCAGGGGGAACAGAAGGGGGCAGGGCTGAGCCCACAATGACCCGACTTGGGGGGCTTCCCTCCCTGCCCCTCCCCACTCTCACCTGACTCGGCATCCGCAGGGAGGGCCGGGGGCTCCCCGGGAACCGCGGTGATATGAAGGGCTGGAAGAGGGGGTGTTGGGGGGCAGATCAGCACCTCCCTGCTCCCCCCCAAAAATGTCCCCATGTTTGGTAAGACCTGCTGGCAGGCCTGGGCCCGCAGTCAGGGACAGGCTGCATGGAAAGGAGCGGGGCTACATGGGACCTGGAGGACCGACCAAGGCAGGGCATGGGGGTACAAGGCCACTACAAACCCAATGAAACGGGCCTGGTGTGACCCCAGGGGAGGGGAGGGGGCAGGGCTGCACCACCCACGCCCTCCCAGGACCCCAGCCTCAGCCCACCCTACCTGGAAGAAGCCAGGTGCCATGGGACCCGCAGCCACTGCGTCGCTGGGGGCCATGCCCCCCATCACGGGGCTGGGGGCCGCGCCCGCACTCTGCAGGGGTGGGGGAGGCGAGGGGCCCCTGGTCAGGACATACCTTCTGCCCCAAGGTTTTACCCCTCTGCCCTCCAGCCGGCTGGGGTTCGAACCCAGAGGACCGCACCCACCCCTGGGTGGCAGCCTGCCCAGAGGAGGGGCTTCAAGGCTGCTACAGCCGCTGCAAGCTTAGGCAACATTCCAGCACATTGGGTACCCCAGAGATGGAGAAGGGGGGACCCCGGGGCTGAGCAGGCAGGGGATCGAGGCAGAACAAGATGAAGTGCCAGCATGCGTCAGGGCAGTGTCAGGCGGCTGGGTACCAGAAGGGAGGGGAAAGAGGGCACCCCCCACAGGCACACACAGCAGCAAGCCCCAAGGGGTTAATCCTGTGCGGTGCACCCTGCCTGGTCTGGGGCCCGGGCCAGACAGCACCCCCAGCCCACGTCACTCGTCCCTGGAGATGTGCCCGGCCGCGTCGCCAGGACGACAGGTCCAGCTCCCGTTTCCTGGCGACACCAAGGTCATACCTGCCCACTCGGGCACAGGGCAGCCAGCCGGGAGGGCTCACCATGCAGGCACCTCCCTCACGTGGGGACTCCCTGGTGCGCCCCCCCAGGAAGCAGCTCCCTAGGGGGGCACCTACAGCCTGTGTCCGGCTGTCACGGGCAGGTGCTCGATGGCCGCCACTGCTGGGCAGCAGGGGACGCGCTCCGGAACAGGATGTGGAGGGGGCCCGGCTCACCCCTGGCTCCCACGCACAGGCACACTGCGCACCCAATCCTCGCTGGCCCTGCCCCTCCCCTCCCGACAGCCCCACGCCCACCGCGTCCCTCCCGTCCCCTGCCCCCGACTCACGTAGTCCTGGAAGGCCTTGGCCTCAGTGGAGTGTTCGCAGGCCTCCCTGCGGTCCGGCGCAGCACAGTACAGATCCCAGAACACGCTGTGGGCGGCAGGCGACCATGGGGGGCTCCGCGGGAGTGCTGCCCGACCCGGACCCCGCACGCCCACCGGGACCCCGCGCGCCCACCCGCACCCCGCGCGCCCACCCGCACCCCCGCGCGCCCACCCGCACCCCGCGCGCCCACCCGCACCCCGCGCGCCCACCTGCACCCCCGCGCGCCCACCCGCACGCCCACCCACACCCCGCTTTCCCTTGCGCACACACGCACCACCACCAGGAGTGCAGGAACCCGGGGGGCTCTCCCAGCGTAATGTTCTTCTCCCATCGGATCTGCGAAAGGTGGATGAGGGTGATTGGGGTTCTTGCGGGAACCGGGGTGCGGGCCGGGCAGCAGGGCGGTTGACAGGTGGCAGCGGGGCGCTCACCTCGGACAGGAATGTCTGTGCCGACTTCTGCGCGCCAATGTGCAACAAGTACTCATAAACGTACAAGGCCAGCCTGCGGCGGGTGGGGGTGCAGAGGGGCGCTGGAGTCAGGGGGTGGGCGGCAGAGTGCGGCCAGCCCCACGGCAGCTCGCGGGCTCGGCCGGCCAGCTCCTACCCATCAGCACCCTGCATTTCTTTCCCACCCCCCTGCTGTGGCGGCACCCTCCCCCCAGTGTCCCCTGGGCTGGAGTCCCCAGGCTGCCTGCTACCGCTGGCCCTGCTGCCCACACAGGCCAGGCTGGCTCAGGGTGCGGGTACATGGAGGGCCCTCAGCTGTCCCCTCCACTACTGCCTCTCCCTGCCCTGGCACCGGCCCCATCCCAAAATAACCTTGCCCTGACTGAGCGCTCGCCCCGTGCAGTGGCCTAAGGTCACCACCGCTTCCTCACTCCACTGCAACCTCAGGACCCCCAAGTTCTGACCTCTAGCCCCCGGCCTCCTAGCTTCCCTGTCTGCCTTGCCTGGGCCAGTGCCTGATCCACCTCACCCCTCCACACAGTGGACCCTAGGAGCCTCATCCAGCTGCACCCCCACAGCTGGGGTGAGGAGTGCCCATCACCCAGCCCAGCCTGGGCGCCCTGGGAACTGATGCTACAGTGGACACAGCCTCCCTGCAGGTGGCCGCCTGTGAGTCTGCAAAGCCACAGGGAGGGCCGATCCTGGCCCACGGGTGAGCAGGAGTGGAGCGGGATGGGCGCTTCCAGCAGGGGAGGCTGCAAGCAGGGAGTGCGCACACACACACACACACACACCAGACACAGGAAGTGACCTGGCCAGGGACCAGCACTGCTGGCGTGGGCTGTCTCATCCGTGGGAACCCCAAAAGGCGTGTGATCCCATAATCCAAGTGGGGTGACTGAGGACTCACACCTATGCCGGGGGGACCCCTGTGGGAGACTGGAGTGATGGCAGCACCCCAACTCCATACCAACGTTTAGAAGGGATCTCAGGTGTGACCCGGACACACAGGACGGCTCTGGCCACAGAGGGGGGACCGCCAGCTCCCCAGCAAGGCCAGTGTCCTCCTGTGTCGGGGCCCACCACGGGGCCTCTGTCACCCCCTCCACCATGCCCCAGCCCCTCACTGTGGGACTGGGGCTTGGGCCTACCTGCCACCTGGGGGCACCAGCAGCCACTTGAGGGTATGCAGAGGGAACACTGAGGGTGCAGCGCCCACAGTGGAGCTTGGTGGGGGGGCAACAGGGGGTCCCTAGCTTTACAGCCAAGCAGACAGGCAAGGGAGAAGCAGAGGCCGGGGTAGGGGTGGAAGCAGAGCATATTAAACCCCTGCCTGCAGCCCCCAACAGCCACCCATACCCCAAGGGAGAATCCCAGCTGCTCCACTTCCCCTCCAGCTTCCTGCTGCTGTGCCTGGGAAAGCTGCGGAGGACCAGGGACTCCAAGGGCCGGGGCGGCTGTGGCACAGCCCAGTCCAGCCCCATTTAGGCGTCTTAGTTAACTCTTTCAAATAACCTGATTTTAAACACACACCCACACACACACACACACACACACACACACACACCCACACACACACACACACAGCCCAGGCACAGGAACCTCCAGGTAGGTCCAGGCAGAAGGCGGGAGGTGTGGGGGGATGCAGTCGAGGGACCCCAAGGCTCCCCCCAAGCCCAGCCTCTTCCGGCAGGGGCCTCTCCTTGACTGCTCTCTGCCTTGACCCCCTAAACCTCAGCGGGAAGTTGGCCGCCCCCTCCTCCTGGCTGCTGGGGGGTCTGAGCCTTGGCGCCTGCAGTCCCAGCACACAGGGAGAGGGGCAATGCGCTGGGAAAGCCACAGAGCAGGTGGCACGCCGGCTGCACCCCCGGGCTTTCGGGGCGCACTCCACCCTCGCTTCCAGCAGGCACCCCGCAGCACCCAGAGACCCCTCGTCGCACTAGGCGCCCCCTTGCCTCCACAGAGGGAGCCAGGAGCAGTGAGCGGCCCCGGGGGAGACCCCCGTGAAATGCGCTGTGCAGAAGCAGCAGCGAGGATCGGGGGGTGGGGTGGGATCTTCCAGGGTCTCCCCAGCCCCAACACCCCACACGCCATCAGCTTCCCCCGATTCTGGTTAACTTGGGACGGAGGTGCTGCCCGGGTCCCCTTGCACAGTGCAAAGTCCCGCCACCCCTTTGACCCCCAGCAAAAAACTCACGACGTCCCCACGTCCGGCTGCCCGGGGCTCTCCCTCTCCAAGACCCCTCTGGGGAGCCCGCGCCCCCCACCCCACCCCGGGAGCCCCCCTACGTGCACGTGCCCACGCGCCCCGCCGGTCACTCACTTCTCGCGGGCCTGGCTGTCGGAGGGGACGGCCGAGCCCTTGCCCCCCTTGGCGTACATGCTGTCCCCCGCGCCGCCGCCGCCCCGGCCCGCACCTGTCAGGCCGCGCTCGCCGTCGCCATGGCGACCCCGGCGCCCCGGCCGCCTCAGCGCCCCGGGCAGCTCCGGCCGGCCGCGCCGGCCACGGCGGCTCCGGCCGCGGCTTGGCCTTCGCCTGTAGCTTCTTTCTTATTTTCCGTCTTCTCTTCCCTCTCGGGGCGGGTTGTTCCGGGAAGCGCGCGCCCCCTCCGCGCGCCCGCGCGCGTGCGCGTAAATGCCTCCTCCTCCTCCTCTTCCTCCTCCTCGCCGCGCCGCTCTTAAAGTGGCGATGGCGCGCAGCGGGTCCACCCCGGTCCCTCCCCGGCCGCTGGGTGCGCAGGCGCAGTGCACATCCAGGCAATTGGGGGTGCGCGGCTGCAGGCACAAACACGCACGCCGGATAGAACAGGGCTCCCCCAGTTGCCGCGTGGGGGTGGGGGGCACAGGAACCGCTAAGTCCCTCAGCCCCCCCCCCACCACGCGCTTCCCCTAAGGGATTAGAGACAGAGCGCCAGCCGCCCACGCCACGCTCCGCTCGCCCAGGGACCCCCCCCCCCCGGCCCTGCACGCTGCGGAAAGAGCCCACGCAGCTCCCCGCCTGGGACGCAGGCTCGGGGGCTGCCCCCCGCGCACACCACCTGCGCCGGTTCGCCGAGCCGCACCTGACCCAGCTGCACGTGGGCCGCGGGCTGCAGCCGCTTCTACCGCGCGCGCACCAGTTACGGGGTGCCCAGCACCCCCCAACACACACACAGCCCGCACCGTCCCCTCCACGCTGACATCCCGGCCCCGGGCCCCCTGTTGGTGTACAGCATTGGGGTGTCGCTGCTGTCCCCGGCGGAAGGCGCACCCCCACTTTTATGGCCCTCTGCTGGAATCAGGGGGCTGACAGTGGGTGGCTTCCCCTCCCCCACCACCACATCCTCCACGTCCCCCACAAAATGTGTTGGCAGAGGAGCGGGTCCGACACACCCACCCGACGCCCAGGGTGGTGGTCCCCTGGGGGCGGCACTGGTTGTCTGTGTTTACCATGCCCTGCAGGTGCGCGCGGGTAAACACGCGGTTCCCACGTGCGCGCACGTGTGCGCCAGGGCGCATGGAAGCTCGGCAGATGCCCGGGGCACGGAACCCCCCGACACACACCGTCCAGGCCACGGCTCTTTGTGGCTGCAAAGTGGCGGTTGTGTCGCCACCTCCCCGAGCCCCGCGTGGTGCCAAACTGCTCGCTGCCACCTCCGGGGAGGGGGACTGGTGTGTGTGTCGGCCGGGGGCCGCTTTCCCGCCACTGGCCGACATCCTTCCCCACCCCATCCACGCCAGCCCCCTTCCCAAGGCGGGGTGCAGGGACGCCCCCACTCCCTCCGCGCGCTCCGGGCCAGCGGGCAGGAGCCGCCCCGGAGATCCAGACGCGCGCAAAGGAAGCGCCGGGCTGAGCCGGCCCCAGCTCCGCCTCCCTGAGGGGCCTCTGCGAGGGAGGTCCGTCCCATTTCCTGTCCAGCAGGCCGCCCCCTCCCCCAGCTTCCTCTCCCGTCGCCGCCGCCCGCTGGTTCGAGGCCACCCTCGCCTCGCCGTCCCCACCAGGGCGCAGGGCGGACGTGGCTTGCCCTAGCCACGCAGGCTTTGGGTGACCGCTGGGCCTACCCTCGTGGGAACCTAGGGTGTGTGCGGGTATTTGAAGCGCCTGGGGTCAAGCGCATTTATCGAGCTCTTGCTGTATGCCGAGCTCTGATGGAAGGGGAGGAGGGGGGGGACCTGCTGCCCCTGTGGTGGAGCAGAGAATGCGATGGAAGAAGAGGCCGGGCTGGGGGGGGGGGGCTAGGGAGGACAAGCGAAGGCGACCTCGCTGGGAGTGGGAGGCGCCAACGAGCTGCAAAGGAGTGGGGGGGGGAGGCGCGCGGTTGTCATGGCAACGGGGAAGGCGCTCCCGAGACAGACCCTGGCTCCAGGGGTGTGGAGGAGCGCCCCCCATTCCTCGTCGGGGAAGCCAAGCCGCGCGTGCGCGCACCCCCAGTCTCTGAGTGCCGGGTGGGGCTGTGGGGGAGACGGAAGGCGCGGGGTTCAAGCCCCGCGGGTGCCAAGGCCCTGAGCGAGAGGATGAGATGGGGCGGGAGTGGCGGCTGGCTAGGGGCGCAGCTGCCGTGGGGCGCGAGTCAGGTGTTTCTCCTACACAAAAGGTGGGAAACAGGGACCCCCTCCCCGGCCGGGAAGGGAGGAAGGGAGTGGATTTGGATCCTGGAAGGTGACCACGTTTGGGCTCCCAAAAGGGTACCCCAAGATAGGCTCAGAGCCGGCCCTGGGGGGACGGCGCCCAGGACCTTTCCAACGCCCCCGGCCCTGGTTAGGGGGACCTGGGCTGCCGTAACGCAGGGGGGCGCCCCTCCCCCAGTTCCTGCGCGGCCCCTCCCCCTGCCGCCTCCTTTTTTTGTGCGCGGGTGGCGGGTGTGGGGGGGAGATGCTCCCGCCGCCTGGCGCGCCCTTCCGCTAGTTCCTGTCCTGGCCTGATTTTTTTCCCCTCCTGGCTCCTCTTCCCGTTCCCCTCCCCGCCCCAACCTTCCCCCCTTCCCTACCCCAGCTTCCTCCCCTGCGCCTCCTCCGCACGGCGGTGTGCGGGGCTGGGCCCTGCTGTGAAAGAGAACGCAGCCACGCTTCCCCTGACAGCTCGCGCCCCCTCCCCCGTGCACCTGCCTGGTCGGGGGTCGCAGGCAGGAGTTCTGGCGACCTATTCGTAGGAGGTGGAACCCCCCCCCCCACACACACACACACACACACACGCCCCGCCTGCCCATTCCCGGCGTTGGAGGCGGGAGCCGGGCTGCTGACCCCCACCCCACAGCTGTGCGTGGGCGGCCGCAGCTGGGAGCTTGGTGGCGCGGAGGGGCCTTCCTCCCTGGAGCTGTCATTATGGGTGATTTTGTGCAAGCAACACAAACATTAAAACCCAAACAGTGCAGAAAAGACCCGCACCGCACCGCACCGCACCCCCGAAGCAGTAAACAGCCAGAGTTGGGTGTAAAGGGGCGTGGGGGGGGAGAGAACAGCCAGAACACTGCAAAAAGGTGTGTGCTTGCGTCCCAGGTTTGCATGTCGGACACTCACCGGGACCAGCTTGGCGCTCGGTGACCTGGAAGCTGGGGGACATGAGAGGGCCAGGAGGGGCTTCTAAAGGGGCAGCGCGGGTTTGCAGGCCTCCCACCCCCGCGGCCGCCCTGCTTGGCCCAAGCCCGCTTGTCCTGCCCAGCTTCCAGCGCCTTCCGTGGCTCCTGCCCACCGCCTCCATACAACCAGCCACGGGGGTGGGGTGGACAGCATGAGGGATGCCGGGTCCCTGAAGGCAGCAGGTGGTCCACCCCTCCCCACCCGCCGCCTGCTCCCCTGCTGCGGGGCACCCCCTGTGGGACGGGCACCCCCTGTGGGACGGGCACCCCCTGTGGGACGGGCACCCCCTGTGGGACGGGCGCCCTGCGCCCCCGGGTTGCACGCGCGCCCTCCAGTGGACACAGGACCCGCGCACGCACGGCCGTGTCTGTGCCCCCCATTCGGTGGTCGTCGCCTTCTGCAGAGCTGGAAGTCCCCCCAACACACACACACACACACACACACACGCCCCTCTAGGCTTCCTGGGGTCACCTTCCTGTCACCCCCTGCCCACCCTCACCGCCTGCGGGTCGCGATTTACAGGGCTGGCACGGAGTACTCCCAGCAGCTGCCCGTGCTTGCTTGTTCCACAAGTTCATAAAAGGCCCTGAGCGGCAAGGCCGAGGCCTGGAGGCCCTTTCGGTGGCCGGCAGAGAGGCGAGACGCGGGGCTCCAGCAGAGCCTGCAGTCCCGAAGGCGGCGGCCACAGGAGGGCAGCAGAGCCTGCAAGCTGCAGGTGCAAGCGCCAGAGCTGGGTCAGCCCAAGGCCAGCAGCCAGGACCTCCGTCCAGACCGCCCTCCGGGGTGGCAGAGTCACCCCGCAGTGGATTCGAACTCTCTGCCCATGCCCACGCCGAAGGGGATGGCTCGAGCACCCCGGGCGTAATACCAAAGAAGCCGGATTGGAAAAGTGGAGCAGCCAGGACTCCAACCTGCTCTCACAGGAGGGATGCTGGTGTCCCACAGGCAGCTCAGCCCTCCACCGACCCTTGGAGCTGGGAAGTGACCCCAGGAAGCCCCCTCACGGGAGGGAAGGGGACTTCGGGGGGCACCCACAGTACGTGTTGTGCACCTTGGGTTCCCCCGACACTGGGGAAAGGGGTGGCAGCCTCCGCCACCAGCGGCTCAGAGCTGACCCCACAGAGAGCTGAGGGCCCTCACAGGCCCCTGCCAGCAGGAGACCCCAGGCCCCCCAAGGTAGGATGGAGGAGCCCCAGGCTTCCATTGGCTGCTTCATGCTTGGAGTGGCCGCAGCAGCCAGGGCAGGCTGGGGATGAACCCTCACCACGGGAGAGGACCAGGCGTCTTTGATTTAATTTGCATAAAGAAACCCTGGAACTTCTTCCAGGCAGGCTGGGCCGATACATTGATTGTTTGTTTTTTAAAGATGTATTTTATCTTTATTATTTTCCAGATATACAGAGAGGCGGAGAGACAGACAAGAAGATCTTCCATCTGCTGGTTCACTCCCCAAGCAGCCACAGCGGCCAGAGCTGAGCCGATCCGAAGCCAGGAGCCAGGAGCTTCTTCCGGGTCTCTGGTGCAAGTGCAGGGGCCTAAGGCTGTGGGCCGTCCTCCACTGCTTTCCCAGGCCACAGGCAGGGAGCTGGATGGGAAGTGGAGCAGCCGGGACTCAAACCATTGTCGCCCATATGGGATCCTGGCTCAAGGTGAGGACTTTTTAACCATTATGCAATCGCACCGGGCCCTTTCTTTTGAAGGCTTTATTTTCATTGGAAAGGCAGATTTACAAAGAGGAAGAGAAAGAGAAAGGTCTTCATTTTCTGGTTTACTGCTTTCCCAGGCCACAGGCAGGGAGCTGGATAGGATGTGGAACAGCCAGGACTTGAACTGGTGCCCATATGGGATGCTGGCACTGTAGGGTGGAGAGTTAGCCCACTGAGCCATCATGCCAGTTTTTTTTTTTTTCATTAAGTGTCTTATCAAGGTCGTGGGCAGCAAATGACAGGAAAGTCATCACGGCAGGCAGACGGGGGAGATGGGTACTGGAGGAGGGGACCTGGGGGAGAGGCTGCTGCAGGGGCGGCGCGCGTGTGTGTGCGCGCGCGTGTGTGTGAGAGAGAGAGCGAGCGAGCCAGGGAGACTGGCCCCTTGAGAAGGAGGAAGCCCTGAGATGAGGAAGTGACAGCCGGTGGCGGGTGGAGGCGCCCAGGGTCAGCAGCTCCGAGCCCAGGACTGTCCCCCGGGCTGTCACAGTGGAGTCCCCACGGAGCATGTGTCATGGTGGCCTCACTGCCCGGAAACCGAGTCCATGGACAGGTGTCTGGCACAGGCGAGGGGAGAGAGAGAGAGAAGAAGGGAGAGAGAGAGAGAGGAAGGGAGGAAGAGAGGAAGGGAGGGAGAGAGAGAGGAAGGGAGGAAGGGAGGGAGGGAGAGAGAGGGGATTAGCCATGTGCTGGTTCACTCTTCAGACGCCAGCTGCAGCCAGGCCCACTTCAGAAAGCCCGAAGCTCCATCCGGGTCTCCTGCATGGCTGTGGGCAGGGGTCCCCCAATCCCCCACCTGCCAGCCCAGGCCCCCTCCGCAGCTCAGCCCCTGAGCGTCCGGGTGGCCTTGGCTCAGCCAGTTCCCTGGCTGAGCCTGCAGCCCCAGGCTGAAGGGACATCCCTGGTCCAAAAAGAAAGCCTGCAGGACGCCTCCCGGGTCTCTGGCCCTGTTTGTGTCCCGCCATCCCAGAATGCAACACCCCTACCTCTCTGCCTGGGTGGTGTGCTATAGAATGAGGGAAAGGGGCCTGGTGTAATAGCATAGTGGCTAAAGTCCTCACCTTGAATGCACCAGGATCCCATATGTGCGCCAGTTCTAATCCCAGCAGCTCCACTTCCCATCCAGCTCCCTGCCTGTGGCCTGGGAAAGCAGTGGAGGACGGCCCAAAGCCTTGGGACCCTGCACCCGTGTGGGAGACCCGGAAGAGGCTCCTGGCTTCAGGTCGGCTCAGCTCCGGCCTTTGCAGCCACTTGGGGAGTGAACCAGCAGACGGAAGATCTTCTTCTCTGTCTCTCCTCCTCTCTGTGAATCTGACTTTCCAATAAGAACAAATAAATCTTAAAAAAAAAAAAAAAACAAACGAAGGAAAGAATGTGGGACAGGAGTGGTGCGGGGAAGGGTCAGGAAGCAGGGGGAGGCCAGGCAGCGGCAGCAACAGGGAAGTGGCCCGTGCCGCCCCTCCCCCGGCCCATGAGAACTGGAGGCAGGCTGGGGCGGGTCCAGCCCCCACTCCTGCTGCTTCCTCTTCCCTCACCCCGAGGTGCCCTGGGGTGCACCCAGGCCCGGCCGGCCAGCACCCAGGTCTGCAGCCCATGTGCCCGCAGCGCTGGCCGCCCCCACCCCCCGTGTGGGGTGACCCACCGTGCAGCACCCCTGCGTGGAAGTGTGGAGGGGTGAGATGGGGAGGAGGGTGGTGGGCTGCTGGCCTGGGTCAGGGGTAACGGGGTTGCAGCCCCCCTCCCTGGCTCAGACATTATCCCTACAGCCCCCCTTCTTGTCCCAGACCCCACCAGAGCCTGGGGGTGCCGGTGGGGTGTGCGGGGTGGGAGTACCTGTTATTTGCATATGGCCCCATCTTAGCCAATCAGAGCTTCCAGAATGTTTCATGGGCGGGGCCCAGGTCAAGTTTAAAAGTGCTGGGAAAAGAGGCAGGGCCTGGAGCAAGGAGGAGGGCAGCCAGCGGCCGGGTTAGGGCGCCCATTGCCCAGCCCAGGAAGACTGAGGGCCAGCCCCAGGCAGAGCTGGGGCAGGACGGCGGCAGAGGCTGCAGCAGCGGCCTGAGCTAGGACCATAATAAACTTAGCAGGTTTGGGGTCAGGGTTAAGTTTCCGCTTGGAGTATCTCTTGCAGTTTGCTTGAATGGGGGTGGCCCCGGGCAGGCTGCTGCCGCCACGGCCACCGCCTCTGCTGCTGTCACTGCTGCTGCTACAGGTGCCAGGAGGCCACGGGTCCGAGTCGGATTGCCTTTCTCCCAAAACCTGGAACTGGAGCGGCTCATTTTCCCACACTTGCCTGAACTTGACTGGCCTGGATTTGAACCTGCCACAGAAAGACCAGATGCTGAACGCCCCGCAGCTGCAGGTGCTCCATCTGTCCGGGACGGGCCTGCAGGAGCTCCCGCCGCCTGCCTTCTTCGCCCACCTGCAGCAGCTGCGGGTCCTGTGGGCGACGGACAACGTGCTGCGCCATGCCGACGGGGCGCTGGCCGCCCTGTGCCACCTTGACCTCAGGGCGGACTGCAGCTGTGTGCTCACCACCTGGCATGAAGTGCGGCTGGGCAACTGCTCTGGCCAGCAGCCGCCCCTGCAGTGCCGGCTGGGGGGCATCGCTGGACCTTGGTACAACCTTTCCAGTTTCCTGGAGACAGACTGCGGCCCTGGCCTTGCCCCGGCTGCCGTTGGAGCAGCGGTGGCCGGCGGTGGCCTGCTGCTGCTGACGCTGGCCGTGCTGGGCCCGCTGCTGGCTCGGAGACAATGGCTGCGGCGCTCGGGCCATGGGGACCTGAACAAGGCCTGGACCGGTGCTCGGGATGAGGCGGGGCCTGGCTCGAGGCAGCAGCAGCTGTACAGCCCGGGTATCCGGGCCCCAGTGGCCACCCCTCCTGGCTCCCCCTCGGCGACAGAAGTTCCTGACTATGAGAACATGGTCCTGGGGCAGCCGCCTGTGGCCGGGTGAGTGACCGAGGTGGGTTGGGGGTGGCGAGCAGGACAATGGGGCCCCCACGCTGTTGCTGCTGGTCTCACACAAAGTGTGGCTTGCCCCTCCTCAGTCTGCCTGTCTGTAAATGGGTGGGCAGCCGTCCGTGCCCTCAGCCCTCTCTCCAGTGAACTCGCTCTCACGGGGTGGGCCGAGCGTCCCCTCGGTGACCTTGCAATACACTTTGTGGGTGTCACCTCTGACAGGGGAGTCAGGCCTCCTCTGCCCCAGCTGTTAACTTCTCATCTGCTGCAGTGAAATGGGCGGGGGCGGCCTCTTCCCCCGCCCAACCTGCACACACACACACACACACACACACACACACACACACACACACACACAGGTGCCACCTGCTGCTGGCTGGCAAGGCTCTGCCCTCTCCTCCCCCACAGTGGAGTCTGGGGTCTTTATGGGGGAAGTCCTCTTTTGGGGGGGTTGGAGGGAGCCAGGTCACAGCCAGAACCAAAGGCATGGGGGAGGGGGCTGCTAAGAAGAGCATGCCTATGTAAAGCAGATGCAAATCGGGGCTGGAAACGGGAAGTGGTCCCCCTGGGGTGGGGACAGGCACGGGACTGCCCGAGTCCTGCATGGCTCGGCTCCATCCCCCCACAATCACCGCCCTCCCCACTCTCGGGCCTCCGGAAGATGCCCGTGGGATGCACGGGGTGCATGGGCCCTTCCCCAGCCTGCGCTTGTGCAGGGAGCAAACCCCGATTGTTCTGTGTGTGGGGGGGGTCATACTAACGTGTGACTGACTGAAGGCCGTCCCCCCCCAGCGGGAAGCTGGGAGTCTCCCACGACACATCTGTGTGTGTGTGTGTGTCCACGCGCGTCCCACACACAGCATAAACACCCAGGACTCAAAGCGCTCCTCTTCCCCACCCCCGCGTGTCCCCGCAGGGCCCACCCCTCGGAGGACAGCGACTTCTACATGAACTACACCGGCGACGGCACCGACAACCAGCCCGTGTACTGCAACCTGCACACGCTGGCACGGGCCTCGCTGGACGAAGATGATTACATGGTGGCCGGGAGCCACTGACCTCGGCTGCGGGGTCACTGCGGGGGGTGGGGGAGTCAAGGCAGTTCCACTTCCCCTGCCCCCTAACAGACTCACAGCACAGGGAGTCAGTCACTGCACCCACTCCAGCCCCATGCACCATCTCCCTGCTGTCTGTGTGCACGTGGTGCTCAATAAATGCTTGGGGTTGGCAGTGGCATTGGGCTCTGGCTTCCTGGCAGTGGGGGCTGCATCTCTCGCCCCCCACGCCCCGGTTCTCTTTACCCAGCCGGCCCTAGGAAGGGCGGCTGCCTCCCTCCCTCACACACACATATGCCCTCCGTAACGCCACCTCGCACCCAGGTGCTGTCAGCCCTGCCGCCTCCTTCCGCTCCGGAAAACTGTGTTTCCTGGTTTCCCCCCTAACTTTTGTTCCTTCTCCAGAGCTGAGGGGGAGGGGCGACACTTGATGTCACCTTCCTGTTTTTTTTTTTTTTTAACTTTTCCCCTCCCTGGGCAGGATTGGGGAACCAGAGCTTGCCCTGGATCGGAAGTGGAGCAGGCTGGACTCAAACTGGTGCCCATGTGGGACGGTAGCACTGCAGGTTGCAGACTAACCCCGCTCCACCACGGCACCCCCTCTCCACATGCGTGAAAATATATTCCTCCACTTATTGATTCCTCACTGCTCTTTTTGTATGAAAGACCAGAGGCAGGGTGAATGGGAGTCTAGGTGCCACCACACCCGGGGTGCAGTGGGGGCCAGAAACCCAAGCCCCCCACTGCAGCGTCTGGAGGTCACCCCATCACCCCCGTCTCTAAGCTCCTCCCCTCACCCCGTCCACAGATTGGGGTGGGGGCAGGGTTCCTACACCTGCTGAGAGGTTTTCTTTTTTAAAAATTTTATTACTAGAGTCTTAAATAAATACACGTTCTGGGAAACCAAATGCCCTCCCCACCTGCACATCCCCCAGACAGATCAACCCCAATAAGTTAATAATAAATAAAAACATAAATACAAGGGTTGGGACAGGAGTGGATGGGTAGGTGGGTGTGGCAGCCCATTGCTCACACGCGGCCCACCGAGGCCAGGCCGAGGAGCGGGCTCACACGCAGTGGCAGGCCTTGGCCAGGACGTCGTCGTAGGTCTGCAGGGACACGCCGCTGTCCGTCTTGTGCAGCAGTACCACGGGCTCGTAGCTGGCGGGCACGCAGCAGGGCGCGGGCACCGAGTCGGGCCGCAGGCGGTGTAGGCGCTCCTTGATCTGGGCGTGCGTGTTGGCCGTGCGGTGCAGGTGCGGGCACTGGCCCACGCACACGCCCACCTGCAGCTCGCGCGGGGACAGCACCCAGTCGCTCCAGCCCAGCTCGTGCAGGGACGCGCGCACGCGGTGCAGGCGGCAGCAGCGCCCGGGGCCCAGCGGGCAGTCGTCGTCCTGTCCAGCGCCGGCTCGGATGCTGCGACCCCGGCGCCTGGGGCTGCGGGTCGGCGGGTGCAGCTCCCGCACCCGGGGCTGCGCGCTCAGGGACGCGTTCACGCGCGACGCCCCGCGTGCTCCCGGGCCGAGCTGCCTCGGCAGCCGCCGCGTCCCATCCCAAGTCCAGGGCGCGCGGTGCAGGCGGCGGGTCGCCTCGGGGTCGGCCTGGCTCATCTCGGCCCCGGAGACTCGCGCTGTGGGAGGAGAGGAGAGACCGGTCACTCGGGGGAGTGGGGTGGCCACCGGGGGCCCCGCAGCTGCCCTCGCCAAGGACGGGGTCGGTGGGCAGGGAGTGGGCGAGCTGCAGGTGGGCTGCTTCCCGTCGCCCACCCCACAGCCTGCCTGCAGGTGCCTGCCGCTCCCCGCGCGTACAAGAAAAACTTTGAAATCCACGCGCTCACACGCAGAGTCCTGAAAGTTGTGCAAAATGCACTAAGTGTGGATTTCAACATTTTTTTTGGTTCTTTTTTCCCCTAGCTTTTCATCACATGCTCTTGGGTGAACTCAACACCACGCTTGCACAAGGAAAAAAAAAATATATATGGCACCAAAGTTGCTTCCATTGTGCACAAACTGTTGGGGGGGGCTCCGCCGGTCATGTCTCGCTGGCCCCCGGCGGATGTTTCTTTTTGGGGATTTGACTGGGGGACGGGCAGGGCCCAGGGAGGCCAGCGCCCCCTCCCCGGGCCCCACGTCACCCCACTCCCACCCCCAGCCGCCCCTGGGGGCGCGGCGACGGCAGAGATCCGCGCTCCAGGAGTGGAGCCGCGCCCTCCGCCCGGGCACCTGCTGCGCGTGACCGGGGAGCAGTGACAGGTGATTGCATCAGGGCCTGGAAACCGGCTTCAGCAGGTTCTGCCCACCCCCACCCCACCCTTCCTCGCGATGTTGGGGGGCGACAGAGGCCACGCCACCCCCTTGGGACTCTGCTTCCTCACCTACAAACCAGGAGAGGGGCGTGGGGTGGACCTACTCCTCGCTCACGCCCGCCCACCCCCTGCTGTCGCGGCAGACCTCTGTTCCCGCCCAATTTGCAGATGGGGAAACTGAGGCAGCGTGTCCGGCCACGCGGCTGGGGATGGGGGGCGGAGCACTCACGTTTTGGGGTGAGCGTGCGCGCGGCGGCGGGGTCCTCGTGGGTCCGGTTGGCCCGCAGCCGCACGGTGGCCAGCAGGTGCTCGAAGCGTTTCCGCAGCTCCCGGACTTGGGCGGCGACGGCGGCCTGGGTGTCCCCCGAGGGTCGCGTGGACCCCGGCGCTGGCCACGACAGGAGCAGCAGCAGCAGCAGGAGCAGGCGCGCGCAGGCGGCGGCTCGCGGGGAGCGCTGTCCGGCCATGGCTGCTGCGGGAGCTGCGAGCTGGAGAGGCTGCAGGGCCGGCGCGGCCGCGTGCCTTTATAGTCCCCGGACTTCGGCCGCGTCCGCCCCCGGCGGGGCGGGCAGTGTGTGCGCGCGCGTGTGTGTGTGCCTCTGTGCGTGTGTGCGCGCGTGTGTGTGTCTCTGTGCGTCTGTGCGTGTGTGCGCGCGTGTGTGTGCGCCTCTGTGTCTGTGTGCGTGTGTGTGCGCGCGCCTCCAGCCTCCCAGCCGGCCTGTGTCCCGTCCCTGCCCGGCCGCCTGTTCCATGGTCCGTGGCCGTGGCCCGTGGGGCAAAGACGTTTGCAGGGGCGAGGGGGGCAGCAGGGTAGGGGGACACCCCAACTACATGATCCATGGCGGACCGACCGGACCGAGCCGGGCAGGGTGAGGGGGCATCTGGGAACGGCCTCTGCTTGTGGCTGCAGTTTTTCTGCTTGGAAGGCAAAGGGGGGTAGGAGGGGAGGGCAAAAGACCAGAAATTAATAATAATAATAATAAAAAGGCTTGTCCCTGGGTGTCTCCACTGCAGGAACCCAGAGGTTGTTCTGTAGTGTGTGAGGGGGGCCTTCTGTGAGGACAGAGATGGGAGACACTGCTGCAGGTGGAGAACTCCTATGTACCCTTCAAAACCCTACCCAGAAGGCCTGGATCATAGCGGGGAGGGTTAGGGGGTCCCCATCTCACAGCCACCACATGGTTTGACAAGCAGGAGCAGTGTGTGAACCCACCCAACCACCCCCAGCCTTCTAGAAAGTTCCATGAGACCCGGCCAGGCTGCAAGCTCAGCCTGTGTTTGTATGTGTGCTCTGGGTGAACAGTAGGCGCTGGAGCAGTGCACCTGCTCCCGAGGCCGTGGGTTCTGCTACGGTCAGTCCAGTGCTCGGGGCAGGGGATGGCGGGGCTGGACCGCTCTTAGCCCTGCCCGCCCCCACGTAGCAGGTGTCTTAAAAACAGATGTCATCATGACTAAGTGTGTCCCCTCCTCCCAAGCCCCCCTCCCCCCAAGCCCCCCTCCCAGGGAAGCACGGCCCCGGGTGACCTTGGCCAGGCATGAAAGGCTACCGGGAGAGGCCCGGGCGGAAGGCCCAGTGCTCTGGCCACCCAGCCAGGATCAATAACAGAGAAGAGCGAGGCCACTGCCCGCTGGGCTCCAGGCAGGGCGGGTGCTGGAGGTCTGTGGGCCTGTGGGCAAGGGGGCTTCTTATTTTTCATGTTTATGAATTACAGAGAGAGAGGAGACAGAGAGATGGTTCATTTAGCATCCCCAAACGCCCCCAACAGCCAGGGCTGGGAGGCAGCAGCTCAGTTCAGATCTCCCACGTGGGTGGCGGGGGCCCATAGCGCGTGCCTGGACCATGCGGGGCCATCAGCGGGGAGCTGGGCGGCAGGTGCATGCCACAACACCTGCACATCCCCTCGCTGCCCCCTCACCCTGCGCAAGGCTGTGGGGAGGATGGGCTGGGCATGGGGGCTGGCAGAGAGCGAGGTTGTGCTGGCTTTGCCGTGTGGCTGGGGGGAGACTCCTCAGGGTCCCCGTGCAGCGGGACCAAGGGCACCCACTTGGAGGAAGGGTGACGAATCCCCTTGGGTCACCATTGTTTTGGCAGCAGCCCCACGCCCTACGTGGGCCCCGGAACCCAGAAACGAGGGAACTTGAAAGGGTTTACAGGGGAAGGGGACCTTGTGGGATGCTGATCTGAAGCCAGGAGCCAGGAGCCTCTCCCGGGTCTCCCCCGCGGGTGCAGGGTCCCAAGGCTGTGGGCCGTCCTCCACTGCTTTCCCAGGCCACAGGCAGGGAGCTAGGTGGGAAGTGGGGCAGCCGGGATTAGAACCGGTGCCCATATGGGATGTTTGCACATGCAAGGTGAGGGTTTGTCCTCGAGCCATCTACCAGGGCCTAGGAAGGTGTCTGGGGGGGGGGGGAGAAAAAGGGGGGAAAAAAAAGGGAAGAAATAGGCAAAGAAACAAACCAAAAAACCACCAAAGAAAGAGGCAGAGAAGACACGTGGCAAGCCCGAGCCTGTCCACTCCACGCCCCGTGCCGTGCCTCCCCTTCTCGGGACAACCACATCTCCAATTTCCATTCTTCCACACCGTAAGCAAAAAGGTCCCCGCCGCCTCCTCCAGGAAGCCTGCACTCCCCGCCCGCATCCCCTCCCCACAGTCCCCAGCTTATCCCACCCCGCCCCCAGCCTGGCTCCAAGGTTGGGGGAAGGCCCCCTTTCCTCCCCCAGGCTGGTGGGGTGGGGTGGGATGGGGGGCTCGGCCGAACTCTGGGCGTGGAGGGGCAGGGTTCTTGGCTGCCCCAGACACAAGGTGGCAGGGAGTCAGGGACCTGGTGGGGGAATGTGGGAATACCAGGCTCGCAGCTGGGAACACTGCACTGGTGGTGAGGGGTGGCGGCGGCCAGGCGGGGGTGAAGGCTGGAGGTGGGGGGACTCCCAGCTGCCCAGCTTGGGGCACCCCTGGGTTCTGAGTGCTCAAAAAAAAAAAAGCATCTGCTCACGACCCTTGGGGGCTGCACCTGTTCACGCAGCTCACACTCACGCCCATTGTACAGCTACAAAGACTGAGGCCCTGGCCTCACACAGGTGGCCTGGGACTCCTGGGGGAGCCAGGGGGTCTCACACCCCCTAACCAGCAGCAGGGAGGCGGCGAGCTGACAGGTGGTTGTTCTGCCCGGCGGTCACCTGCCTGTTACCTCTCATTACCTCCCAGGTATGAGGCACCTTGCGAAGGAACTCGGAAGGAGCAGCTTGGGCAGGACGCGAGGGCAGGGCGTGAGTCAGCACAGCCCGGCTGCTGTGTCATGTTCGTGGAAAGACCTAAAGTCCGTTTCCATGACTTGAAGAACACAGAAGCAGAGAAGGGAGACGCCCCGACACGCGAGCCCATCGCTGGTCCACCCCCGCCAGGCCGCCCACCAGGCTGCAGCGTCCAGGAGCCGGGAGCTCCATCGGCGTGTCCCACGTGGGCAGCGGGGGTGCTTGAGCTGTCAGCACGCATGTGCAGGGGCTGGACCCAGGGGCTCCCGCGCGGGGGGCAAGGTCTGAGCGACCGGGCTACGCGCCTGCTCCCGATGCACATTCTGATCCTCCCTCATCCGGAGACGTCCACAAAGCTGCTCTTCAGACGAGCTTCTGCTTCTAGAAGCTTCCTGACCCCGGGGGGAATGTGTGGGGCTGCCTCGTAGAGGGCGTGTCTGCCCTGTGGTTTGCCGACTACTCGGGGTCTTTCCTTCAAAGCCAAGGTGACAAATGATGGTGTCGTTGGGCACTTGTGGCAGGGGAGGGGGTTGGCTGCCACACCCCTTTTCCTTGCTGTGTAATATTCTAACGGTGCAGGCAACACTGCCCACTAGTGGGCATCTGTCTCTTTAAGGCCAGATCCCAATGCCAAGCTCATTTCCTTTAAGGAATTTGCCCAAGGGGCCACTGGCACCTGGGTAACCCCTGACAGGCGCCTGGGCGGGGAGGGGAGCGGGTGGGAGGCCGGGTGGGGGAAGAGGGAGAGAAACTGCCATGGGCCGGGAGGGGAAGGGTTCCACTTGAGCAGGCTGTGGAATGCGACCCCCAGGCCCACTTGGCTGGGCTACCCGGAATCTTTACTCAATGACCTCATGGCCGATCTCGTGGCTGCCGGGGCGGGCAGGCAGCCACCGATGAGCTCAGAGGCCGCGAGCTGCCCGGGCTGGGTGTCCGCCTCGGGGAAGGGCAGGCTGGCGTGCGGACACGGCTCGGGCCACTTTCCCGGCCTGGCCGGGGCCCAGGCCTCCAGCTGCCCAGGAATGCCTCTCTCCCAGCTCATCTGCGCCCAGGCCTGCTGCTTGCACGCGAGGACAGGGCACGGCGGCCCTGACGGGCGAGAGGGGTTTGGGACTTTCGTCCGGGCGGAGGAGGCCGCTGTTTACCCTGCGGACAGCATCATGTGACCGAAACTGGGGCAGCGGGGGGCATGCCCGGACATCGTGCCCGTGAGAGCTCTTCACCTGCTGACTTCAACCCCAAGTGGCCACAGCAGCTGGAGCTGAGCCGATCCAAAGCCAGGAGCCAGGAGCCTCGTCCGGGTCTCCCATGCGGGTGCAGGGTCCCCAGGCTGTGGGCCGTCCTCCACTGCTTTCCCAGGCCACAGGCAGGGAGCTGGATGGGCAGTGGAGCAGCTGGGACATGAACTGGTGCCCCTATGAGATCCCGGTGTATGCAAGGT